CACACACACACACACACACACTCTCATGCATTTCTTTTGAAACTAGGTTAGAAAATAGTCATTTATTTTTAAAAAGTTAGCAGAATGTACTATTCACATTGTTTTTCTTTTATTTGTAGACCAGCACCAACATGTTCTCTATTTTGAATAATTAATATTGTAATATGTACACTGTCAATTATTTTAAAAGTGTAGCCGAAGAGCATTTGTGTTTTACATTGTGTGTTTTACATTATTTTCATTTTAGAGCAGCAAATCACTCTTGCATTTTCACAATTTTATATCGTGTATTTTTGAATTTGATTAGTTCTTTTAATTTGCGCCGGAATGAAAACAATGACATTGTTGAACGCTGTGAAGTATTTATGAGAAAAATAAAATGCAATAATTGCAATCAGTATACAAAATACAGAAACTACGATAAAAACTGTATGAATCGCAAATATTTAAAATATATATATTTTTTCTCATTTAGTTTTACAGTCAATACAAAAGTAAGAAAACGAACTCAAGGGCAAATATTGGTCGACTGCCGCCCCGAGTTCGGACTGAAAGGCTTCCTTAGCTACGGGCTGACTTTGCGGCATTAATCCTGTTTACGTACACATGAATTGAACTGCAAACCAATATATGACTCAAGACCAACTGATAAATCCATATAAAGTAGAGAAAATGTCAATTGATGCCAATGAAAGTTTGTCGTATTATTCACTACGTGCTCGACTATAATACATGCTCCGTTGCTTGTCACGTCCAGACAAAACATGAAATATGATTACATTTTATCATATGACTTTTCTGGGGGGGAGGTATTCCTTTACTAAAGAAAAACTACGTACTCTGTTAATTTGGGTTTTAGCCTTGGGTTACGCTTGCACCTGCAAGTTATAATTCGGGGTTATGAAGTATCGTTCAAAATAGGAAGTAATCCTCGAATAAAAACTTTATTGACCACCCAACACGTCGTTGCCAGATGGTCAAGTTTAACAGCGGGAGTTTTGTTCATTTGGGACGTTTACTTTTGAACGCGTAAACGTCGTTTGGTGACGACTGTTCGTCATGATTTCCTCGTCGAGCGAGCCAATTGCTGCTCTGCTAGCCATTTGCTGCTAGCCGCGTAATACAGGTAGAGAGCCGAGCACCGTTTGTATTTGAAGCGTTGCATTTAATTGGCATTTTCTGTGCTCCCCCATCAAGTTTCAAATGATCAATGAATGAAATACAGAAACATGTGCTTGTGCAATTTGTTATTATCCTGAAACGAAATGTGACTCTAGCTGTAGCAAGAGTGGATCCAAAATTGTATTTAAAATACCAAATGGCTCTTCAGCATCTCTAAAATGTACCCTCTCCCTCTTAATGACCATCTTACGTATGAAATTTATGATTTTTTTTTAAATGGTGGTCTTATTTGTTGATGTTCTTTATTTTAATTGTTTTGTTTATTTTTTTTCATAGAAATGAATTTTATTTACATTCTGTTTTGAAATAAATGCATTTGTATTCCCATGTAGTGTGTGAGCAAGCAGCCGGAGGAGAAAAACAAAACATGCTTCTGCGGACTTTGTGGGATAAACTGGGAGCTGCCAGGAACTTTGTTACCTCAGCGTTTCCCTTTCATCCGACTCAAGCACCCAAGTGTGAGATTAAATTCAGGACTCAGCCATGCTCCTCTGCTCTCCAGACGACGAGGTTCTTCAACGTACCTCTGCTCAAGCCAGAACCTCCAAGCCACTTTTTGTCGCCGGCGTTAAGTGGATTCCAAAGGCCGGGCTGCAGTTTTTCAATGGATTTTCAACACAGGAGTAATCAGAAGCGTTTGTACGCATCAAATCTGGTCAAGTCTGTTTTAAAACCCACCTTGAAACCAGTGATAGCACCTGGGAAAAGAGTTCCAAAAGGGCCCAGAACCAAACAACCTTCCAGAGCTAATCAGCCTTTCCTGAATCAGGATATGGTGAGTCAGCCTTGCATGACTTTGTTCATTCCGCTCGTGTGTGCATGTGTGTGTGTTAGCGTTCTTGTGTGGTTGCTTACCCAGGACATGATGCAATGTATAGCCTTTGCAACAGCAGACCAGTACAATCTGCCCACTCTCAGCGTTGACCTGACGCAACACGGCTTCCATGAAGTGGAGTTGCCTCGAGGTAAGACTGCACCTGGGGGCCTGCATACAAACTGCTGCAACCCCCCTCGCCCCCCCAAAAAAGCCCTGAATTCCCTGATGATTGCGCATCTTGAAACATTACCGTCGTTGCCGAAAAAAAAATGCAGATTTAAATAGACTACTTAAAGACCTCCAAAGTTAAAATTGTTTTTATCTTCCCTCACTTGTCGTCTGTGGGGGGGGGGAAATCACATTTCAGATGCTGCCAACGTGCTGGTGATCCGTTCCAAAAAAAAAAATCACATTTCAGATGCCGCCAACGTGCTGGTGATCCGTTCGGACGCGAGCGCCAAAACAGACGACAGCTCTTTCATCTTCTTCTTCAGGTGGACTCGCCACATTTATTTTCATCACTGTTGCATTTTTTCATTTTTTTTGGAGGCACTCAAACTTTTGCCATTGAGGAGGACAAATGGAAATGTTATTTAAACATTTTTTTGCATACAAATGTTTTTCTCTCCCTCTTTTTTCATGTGTGTCCGTTTTACAATTTTCAGGGAAGGCTCCGTGGTTTTCTGGAACGTGGAAGAGAAAATGGTAATCAAAACACCATCTCGTATTTTCTGTCATTCAAGCCATTTGTACATACAGACATACAAAAAAGTCAGAATCGTATTTCTGTCTTTTGTTTTGATTCAAACTCCGGCTGCATCTCACATTCAAACTATATTGACTTTTTTTGTTGTTGTTTAATTTCAATTAAAATTTCACGGAAATCTTGAGGACCCTTTTAGTATTATAGTGTTGGGGTTTTTTTTCTCAAAATAGTATTCACCAGTCTGCTTTGTCACTCAAGCAAATCAAATAAATGAGCAAACGAAACATCTCCCAATTTTAGCAACCCTCATCCTGCTGCCGATAATGCGTACGCCCAAACTTTGTTGATTATCAGCTGAAGAAGGTGCTGAGGGTATTGGAGCGTCACGAGAGTCAGCCGTACGAGGTCGCGCTGGTCCACTGGGAAAACGAAGAGATCAACTACACGTACGGCGAGTGAGTGAGTCCACATCTTCAACGGATTGAAATCGTTTTGTTGAGTCACACCCCCCCCTGTGATCGTTACGGCTGGCTCCGCGCAGGGGAAACACAAAACTGGAGCACGGCAACTTTATTTTGAGCAAGCACTCGGAGGAGCACGACGCCGTTCTGGAGAAGTTCGCCTTTTCCAACGCTTTGTGTTTGTCAGGTGAGCCGTGGCGCCGTACGCCACACGCCAAATCAAATTGAAATCATTCCCACAGCCTTGATACTTACTGAGGAGCTGCGCGCAGCCCTTTATTACCCTATTTTCCGCACCTAAGAGGCGCACCTAAAAGCCTTCCGCCTTAAAATCCGATACGCCTTGTGTATGGTCATTACGGTAATATTTCGACCCCAAAATGGCTCCTTGCTAGAGACATGCTTCCAATGCAGATTTCAAACTTAAGGTGATCGGTTTTGCAGTTGAACACGGAAATAGAGCAGAGGCAAGAGAGTTCAACGTTAACGAGTCGATGTTATAACTTGCTCTTGGTTAAGTGAACTGTGTCGCTGCTTTATTAAATAGGTTTTACTGACATCTGATCATCGCTACATAAATCAGGGTGTAGTGTAGTGTTCTGTTGGCATTTCCTTGAGCGTAGCTCCATCTAGTGGATGCATTGTAGATTGCGTCTTATAATGCGGTGCGTCCAATATATGAAAAAAAATGACTAAATAGGTCATTCATTGAAGGTGCGCCTTTTAGTGTGGAAAATACGGTAATTATTTTTTTTCCATTTAAAAAAAAAAAAAAACACCCACCAAAAACGTATTTTTTGGTTTGAGTCAGTGGTGTTGAACATGTGCACTCTGTCTGTTTGTGTCACTTGGTTGGCCCAGTCAAGTTGGCCATATGGGAGGTGTCGCTGGATAACTTTGTGGAGTCAATTCAGTCAATCCCCGAGGTACGCTCCGCACACCTTCAAGCCGTCTGGTGACAGGGGAGGTGTGTTGTTGCAGCAGTCAAGCACCTCCTTTTTTTTGTTTGTTTTTTTCCTCCCCCAGACACTCAAGTCGGGCACAAGAGTCAAGTTGTCGTCAGCGGAGGTGATGCAGAAGATCGGCGAGCTCTTCACGTTGAGGTCAAATGCCATCAAGCGCTCCGCAAGTCACACGCGCGCACTTTCGAGCCTCCCTGAAGGCACAGTTTGAAAATGACATTGTAACGTTGAAAATGACAACGGCGAGAGGTGATAAAATAATCATTCAAAATTAGATGCATTTGAAATCTTGATATCAATCATGAAAAGTTCAAACCGGTTCTTGTGTGTTTTACATCCTTGGCCACTAGAGATGATTCTGATGTTGATTTTTTTTAATACGCATTTAGTGGAAAATAAATAAATACATTAATTAGATGGTGGTGGTTTTATTTAAATATACAGTACATATTTTATTTTTTAAAAATTGGAACATTTCTTCAACATAATAATCTTTATAGTATTTACATTTTTTTAAAGTACCGGTAATTGATAGCTTGACAAAAACAAATAAAAAAATGCAAACTGTATTACTTGGATGGCTTGGAGTGAAGTGTCCGTTGAAATGCCGCCGTTGCCGTCGCCAGACATTGCATCAACCTGAGCTCCGACCTCCTGCTCACGCCCGACTTTTACTGGGACCGAGAGAACCTGGAGAAGATCTACGACAAGACCTGCCAGTTCCTCAGCATCAACCGCAGGGTCAAGGTGACCGGAAAAAAAAACCAAATCCGAATCATTACAATTGCGCTCGCGCTCACTCGGCGCGATGTCGCTGGCCGCCGCTCCGCAGGTTGTGAACGAGAAGCTGGAGCACTGCACTCAGCTGACGGACCTGATGAGGAGCCACCTGAGCGAGAAGCACAGCCTGCGGCTGGAGTGGATGATCGTCATCCTCATCACCATTGAAGTGAGCGCCGCCGCGCGTCGTGTGCGCAGACGGGACACGCGACAGCTCCGCTCCCATCTTGTTTTGTTTTTGTCCTTTCTTTTTTTTTTTTGTCGTAGGTGTTGTTTGAAGTGGTGAGAATGATCTTCTGAGTGGCGGGGAGAGTCTTCAGACATACACGTACTGCGTTCGGGTATGCTCCACGACCTTGTGCGGAGCCAACAGCCGCACTTGTGAGCTATTCTGGCTTCACAATGGCTGCGGCGATTGGCTCAGGTGTGAAAAAGACGCCGTGTGGACTTACCGCGCCAATCTACACAATTCACGGAACTCCTGTAAACAATGACTGTCAGGCCTTGCTTTCTCCCAGAAAAAAAAAAGAGTGTGCGCCAAGCCAAAGGAAGCAAATCCCGATAAGGAGTCCAGTTTTTGAGGTGAGAAAACGGGCGCGGTAAAAAAATAAAATGAAGAAAAAGATTTCTGTCTGGCAAAATTCTGCCGGGTGAGAGACGGTACCTGCGGCGATCATCATTAAAATTTGTTTACAATGCTACTGGCACTGCAGGCGTCAACGGTAACTTTACATTTTTAGCATTCAAGCCGAGCGACTTGTTTATTATGATTCTGTTTTGTTGTAATTTGTGCAATAAAATGTGAATTTAGACAGACAATCTCTGCATTTCTTGTCAGTGAGTATTTGTTGAGTGCGTTCACTAAAATTTCAAGTTCAGGACCACTGTGCTTCTAGTTTCAAAAAAAAAATTGAAGCCCTGTTTTTAATTTGTAAATTATATAAATTGAAACAAATTTGTTACTCACTTATGGTGAATACAAAAAAAAACATGTTTAGAGCGTTGTAAAATAACTTCTGTGAAGATGTCCACGTTTTTATGTTATGAAATACTTAATTAATAAATTACAATGAAATAAATTACAATTTATACAAATTATAAACTAAATCTGTCGACATTATTTTTTTCTTTTTTTATGTCATCGACAAATGATGGGCCCATCTGTCCCTTTAACCCGTTGACGTCCAATCCCAAAACCGTTTCATTTTATATTTATCTTGGACAGTTGAAACAAAAATCATTCGTTTTAACATGATGAGCCTCCACCAAATGGCTGAGAAGTCGCTCTGGCAAAAAGGGGGAAATATTTACTGTGGTGACTCTTACTAATTTCATCTCGAATGTGTCGCTTACAAGCAGCTCGCCGTTGAATTTTACAAGAATGAAACGTGTTGTGAATATTACGGTACATCAACACAGTCGAACCTCGTTACAACGTACCTCGAGGGACATGACGAATATGTATGTACGTTCGAACAGTAGTTCGCTGTAACCATTTAACCAATAAAATGGCCGCCAACTACGACGAAGAATACAGTGGAAACATTTATAGATGTCAAAACATGAACGTGTAATACAGTATAAACATGTCAAAGTTCGATTATATGATAGTAAAGGTCTTGACGCTTCTCCAAAAAAACGCGCTAATAATCATAATGTGGTTCTTCTCCACTCCTGTTATAAGGATTCAAGAATGAAACACATTCACAGATGACTGGACTTTTTTTTTTCTTTCATTCTTTTGTTGCATAACCACCATATGTGACATCAGCACTTGTCTCACGATATATTGATAAGTAGCTGATACAAACAAGAAAAGTGTGAAGAGAGTGCAGGGCATGTTCCTATTTGGAATCATAATAAATGCATTCAGCTGTGTGCAACCCCCCCCCCCCCCAAAAAAAATATATAAAATAAAAGGGTCAATGTGGTCAGTATCTGTGCTCTGATTCTCACTTTTTGCTGTCCGAGTGTAATATAGGGAATATACAATGCGGGTGTCTTAATAAATTGCCACCGTCCGTAAGTCTCTGTCACTTAGCAATTCATGTTTTAAATAGCAAACAAATGGCATCAAATAATAATAATATTGATGATGCGATGAATAATCCAAATCAGGCCACCGATATCCTCCTCCGCTGTGATTTTCTGGCCATTGAAGCAACCTTGAAAGTAAGGGGAAAAAACAAGAACACGTTCCAGTATTTTCATGAGGATGCAGAATATTTAAAAGAAGAGAATAAACAGAAACGTACCTGCCTAATCTCGCTCCATGAGTGCTGCACTTTCCAATTTGAAATTGTCATATGCAATGTCAAAATTATCGCCTTCGCTCTCACTTTCAGCCCCGGAGTCGGTGTCTGGCATCGGCTCGGACTCCGCTTCATGCACCGTTTTTGTCCATCGGTTGAGGTCATGCCGTGGGCTTGCATCTTGAGGCGACAGCACGTTTGTTTCCCCTGGAATTTCAATGTCTTCCTTTGCGTCCATCCATATGTCCTGTTCGTCCTCTGCTTCTTTTATGGGGGCCTCGGTTTCTGGTCTCTCTGCAGTTTGTAATGTTTCACTTGTCTGTACGTTTGGTGTTTCCTTTGCTGTGGCTGCATATTTTTCAACTGGTTCTATGGTCTCTGCTGATTGAATTTCCTCGATAACTTTTACTGTTAACATTGGTAAGATTTCCTCTGCTGCTCCTTCTGTCTCAACTGTTAGGAACCCGGAATCCAAATGGACTGAAGATCCCGTGGTCACTGAGATGTCAGTGGATTTCAATTCTTGCGCCAGTTTGGAGGTCTCTTCAGTCCTAACTGCCTGTTTTTGTCCGTTGACAGGCTCTTTTGGTAATGAGACCATTTCCTTTTCTGGAGCCTCCTTAGTTTGCTCTGTCTGTTTCTGGGGCTTGGTGGACTCTTTTTGGGGTACAGAATCTTGGTTGTCTCTTGTTTGAACACATTTCTCCAACAGCTCCATCCGTTTCTGGTTCTCAGTAGACTCTTTTTGGGGTGATGGCACTTGGACATCTCTTGCTTGCTCATGCTCTTCTGTTAGATTCATCTGTTTCTGGGTCTCATTTGACTCTTTTTGGGCTATGGGCTCTTGTGTTTCACTTGCCTGAAAATAATTCTCTTGAAGCTCCATCTGTTGCTGGATCTTGGTGGACATTTTTTGAGGCAGAGGCTCTTGGTTTTCGCTTGCTTGAACAAGTTTGTCTTTTAGCTCCATCTGTTGTTGGATTTCAGAGGACTCTTTTTGAGGCAGAGGCTCTTGGTTTTCGCCAGCTTGAACAAGTTTCTCCTTCAGCTCCGTCTCTTTCTGGGTCTCAGTGGACCCCTTTTGGAGTGATGCCACTTGGATATCTCTTGCATGCTCAGCCTCTTCTTTTAGCCCCCTCTGTTTCTGGGTCTCTGTGTACTCTTTTTGAGGCAGAGGCTCTTCGTTTTCGCCTGCTTGAACAAGTTTCTCTTTTAGCTCTGTCTCTTTCTGGGTCTCAGTGGACTCCTTTTGAAGTGATGCCACTTGGATATCTCTTGCATGCTCAGCCTCTTCTTTTAGCCCCCTCTGTTTCTGGGTCTCTGTGTACTCTTTTTGAAGCAGAAGCTTTTCGTTTTCGCTTGCTTGAACAAGCTTGACTTGTAGCTCCATCTGTTGCTGGATCTCTGTGGACTCTTTTTGAGGCAGAGGCTCTTCGTTTTCGCCTGCTTGAACAAGTTTCTCTTTTAGCTCTGTCTCTTTCTGGGTCTCAGTGGACTCCTTTTGAAGTGATGCCACTTGGATATCTCTTGCATGCTCAGCCTCTTCTTTTAGCCCCCTCTGTTTCTGGGTCTCTGTGTACTCTTTTTGAAGCAGAAGCTTTTCGTTTTCGCTTGCTTGAACAAGCTTGACTTGTAGCTCCATCTGTTGCTGGATCTCTGTGGACTCTTTTTGAGGCAGAGGCTCTTCGTTTTCGCCTGCTTGAACAAGTTTCTCTTTTAGCTCTGTCTCTTTCTGGGTCTCAGTGGACTCCTTTTGAAGTGATGCCACTTGGATATCTCTTGCCTGCTCGTGCTCTTCTGTTAGCCCCATCTGTTTCTGGGTCTCTGTGTACTCTTTTTGAGGCAGAAGCTTTTCGTTTTCGCTTGCTTGAACAAGTTTGTCTTGTAGCTCCCTCTGTTTCTGTCTCTCGGTTGACTCGTTTTGGGCTATGGGGTCTTGCGTTTCACTTGCCTGAAAATATTTATCTTGTAGCCCCATCAGTTTCTGGGTCTCTGTGTACTCTTTTTGAGGCAGAGGCTTTTTGTTTTCGCTTGCTTGAACAAGTTTGTCTTGTAGCTCCGTCTGTTTCTTGCTCTCAGATGACTGTTTTTGGGAAATGGGCTCTTGTGTTTCACTTGCCTGAAAATATTTATCTTGTAGCTCTGTCTGTTTCTGGATCTCAATGGACTCTTTTTGGGGTGATGGCACTTGGACATCTCTTGCTTGCTCATGCTCTTTTGTTACCTCCACTTGTTTCTGGGTATCGATGGACTCTTTTTGGGTTAGGGGTTCTTGGTTTTTGCTTGCCTGAACATGTTTTTCTAGAAGGTCCGTCTGTTTCTGGTCTTCAGTAGACTCTTTTTTGAGTACTGGCTCCTCTGTTTTTGGCTTCTGACAACTCTTCTTGGTCAGTGCTGCAGATTTTTGTTTCCCGTCTGGCTCTTTTGGAAATGATGGCTTTACGGTTTGTTGTACCTCAACATTTTCCTCAGATATCCCTGTCTGCTTATGGTTGTCAACTGAAACTACTGAATCCAGTGCCAGAATGGCCTGTACACTAACCTCACTTTGCTCTGTTGTTTTAAGAGAAGCAAGGGGGTCTAGTAGGGACAGGGGTTCTTCTGTACCTCTTTGGGATAGTGGTTCTTCTACCTTTGGGATCTGAAAATCTTCCTCATTTGTCATTACGTCTTGGTACTCTCCTAGATCTGTTTGGGATAGAGCTTCCTGTGGCTGAACTCCTTTCTCAATTGGATTTTTTTCTTTTTGACTGTCAGCCGGCTCCATCTGGTGGAAGGAAGATTGCACTACAAAGGTTTGATGACCTTCCTTGGTTGTCTCTGTGTCTTTATGTCTATTTTTTGGGATACAGGGTTCCTCTTTCGCTACCGGTGCCTCACCAGCTTTATCAGTTGCTGCCATTGACTCCTCTGCTTGCGGGGCCCAATTGCTATCCTCTTTTTCCTCCAAACGCTTTTGAAATTTGGGGACCTCTAAACTTTGTGGGGTAGCTTCTTCATGTAATGCCTCTTCCAAAGTCTCACCTTTGCAAGCATGCTCCGTGTATAGTAATTCCATATTTCCATCAACTTTACCAAGTTCAACGTTTATTGCTCCTTTTAGGACTTTTTGCCTCAAAGTCTCAAGTTGGTTATCCTTTACATGTGGAGCGATCTCATGACACATCACTGCATAGTCCTCATGCATTACGTCCTCGACACCCAAGGATGCGGAAACAAATTCAACCCCTTCAATATTTCTGTTACCGATGTCTATGAATCCTTTTTCTCTTATCTCAATCTCTGACATATGATCCAAGCTCCTCTCTGCTGCTGTGGTTTCCATTTGGACTACTTGTACTTGAATGCTGTGGTTGGCCTCCATCACTGTTGCTGGCACATGCATCATCACAGCCTCATTGCTGATCCGTGCCATCTCTGCCAAGTCATCGGTCATTATTGGCAATTCATTCACAGCAGTTTCTGTGGATTCTGGTACTACAGATCCCATGAGGGGTTCTTGCATGCAAGATGGTGCCCTAATGCGATCAGGTAGTGCAGTTGAGACTTCTTTAAAACGGCACATGGTCACTTGAGTCACCAGAGCATACTCGCCTGTAGCAATTGTCACCTCTACATTTGGTAAATCACAGTTTTCTCCCGTAGTTCTGTTTTCCACATCACTTGCACGTGCCTCAAGTTTGACTTTGTCTGCAAGAGTTCCACAAACGTCAGGGATTTCTTCAAAAATGACATTTTCAAGGCTCTGGGCGCATTTTTTTCCCTCCTGGTGTAAGGATATATGTGCTTCTGTGACTTGTAGTGTGCCATCTTCCTCTCCCTCTTTAGCATCTTGCGGTCGGTCATCAACTGTGATCTCTGGTTCCAAATTCTTCTGCTTATCTAAAGCCTGATCCGGTGGAGCCTTGGTTTGCTCTACTTCTGAAACAATTTCTCTCTCCGTTTCTGATTTTGGAATTTCCTCTTCCAATGTTTCCTTTGAAAATGTTTGAGTGATACTTTGTTGAGTGATTTCCAGTCCAGGCGTAGCCACCTCCTCCACTGTTTCTGTCTCAACTGCAGGAACTTCTTCCGGCTCTTGGACCTCATCCCTTACAGCTAGCAGTGCTTCTGTTTCAGCACTGGATTTCATTGCTTCATTCTGGTTATCGTCACTTTTCTTTGCCAGAGTACCCTCTGTCAAAACAGTTACTTGCTTCATGTTTATGTTACCTGGCTGTAGAGTCAATTCAGACATTGGCTCTGCACCCTCCTTGAGTTCGCTTGGGAGGCTCTCCTCTACCAGACTACCTTCTGTTGTTTCTTCAGACTGAAATAATTCCACATTGGCTTCTTCTGATGCTAAGACTTCAGACATTTTTACGTTGTCCGTTTCATTCACTGCTTCGTCGTCTTTTTCCTGTGGGTCCACATTCATTTCACTTAGCGCTACCACCTCCTCTTTAACTTCAACTGAAACTTTTCTTTTGTCAGCAATATCTTCCGTTGTTGCCTTTCCCTCTTCTGCCATAACTTGATCTGCATTCGGTTCTGTTTTGGTTACATCCACTGTTTTCTGGTTACTCTCTGCTTGAACTTCAGTCAACTGCATTGTCTCCTCTTTGAGTTCTTCTGTTATCTGTATTTCTGCATTGATGGTTTCTTCTGCCACAACCGAGTCGGTTTGGATTGATTGTTTGGATTGTGTTTCTTCTATTTCTTTCCCTCGTTCAATTTCAGATGCACCCACTGCCACCTCATCATCTTTTGCTGACTCAATAATGGTTTGAAGCTGAGGCACCATCTCCTCCCCACATTCTTCTGTCATGGTTTTTGGTGCATGGATGTCTTCTCTTATTTCTTTGTGTTCATCTGATTTTGCACATGTCTCTTGTACCACTTCCTGTTCAGGACTAAGGTCAGATTTGGCCTGCTGGTCTGCGCTAACTAGTTCATCCTCAGTGAGAGGCGCAGGTCTGTATTTCGCTTCAGCAATCAAGGTTTCTTGTGCAAGTATACTTTCTGGTATGTCTTCCGCTTTAACTGACAGGTCTCTTCCTTCTATGTCTTTGTCTTCTTGTACGAATTTCATTTGAGTGTCGTTTATAGTCTTCTGGTCTTTTGCGGTTTCCTCAGCGTCAGTTTCCAGCAGAGGCACGTTGTCGTCTTTCACTTCTTCCCCTGGAGGGTCTTCTCCATGAATGTCTCCTTTGAGTTCATCGTGTTGGACGTCAGCTATATCCGATTCAAACTGGGTTTTCGGTGTTGCTACTAATATTTGTTGTTCCTGGATAGATTCAATTTCAGGTGCAACGATTGCTTTGTCCTGGGGCAGTCCTGCAACTGTCTTCTTGTCTGGCTCTACTTTCTCTGCTGCGAGCAATGTTGCTTGTACAGCTTCTATTTCGTCTGTGGATGTCTCCACTGGCTCCTTTGCGCCATCTTTGTTTTCTGGTTCTATACTAATATCAGTTAGGAGCTGAGTCATCTCTTTGAGTTCACTCACAACCTTCTTGGAAAGCATTTCATCTTCGTCAAGTTGAACACTACCTTGCTGCAAAGCCAGTGCTTCTGTCTGTGCTCCTGAAACATCAACAGAATTTAAGATGGGTTCAGATAAAATCTCTGTTGTTGGCTCTAGGTCCTCCATATAGGCCGCGGGAAAGTTATGTGATGTTACTTTGACTTTTTGTTCTTCCAAATGTATTGTGGCTGCCTGTAAAGTGTTTTGCTGTGGGTCTGTTTCCTTATGGTCGGTATGATCAATTGTTTCTGGTTCTGGTGCATTAATTATTGATTCTGCTGTAACACCTTCATGTAAATTTGTTGTGTTGTCTAGTATGTCACTTGACCTTTGCAACTCATCCACAACAGGAATGTGATCCTCAACCTGAGGTTGTTTGGCAGATTCCACCAAATATCTCTTGCCTCCATCTCGACCTTCATGTTCTGCCATAGATACAGGCAGTTGACTGTCCACTTCGGAGGCTTTGTTTTCTCCTTGATTGGTTGCCAAATCTTCAAGATCATCTTCTGCACCAACATCTTTGCTTTCGGACAACTGCTCTGAATACTCGCCTTGGTTTATATCTGTGAGGCAGTTCACAAATTCATGGATTTCTTCGATGGTGTCTAATTCATTGATGTTGTCGTCTGACTTGGAATGGTTGGTTTCTTTTGTTTCATCTGTGGTTAGTTCCTCTGTGTCAAGCTCCTCGGTATCAACTTGAGGTATGATATTCTCAGAGTGATACTTTTCCTCAGTAGCAATTGCCGCTATTATTTCCTCTCTGTCAAGCTCTTCACTAGGGATGGGAGGAGAAATTCCCGTGGTGTCAACTTCCTCGGTAAGAACGCGAGAACTGCTTTCCTTGGATTCAAAGTCCTCGGTTGGAATTGGAGGTGCACATTCCTCCAAGTTGAGCTCCGTGGTCGGAATGGAAGGTGTCATTTCCTCGGTGTCAGACTTGTCAGTCGGAATTAAAGGCATAATTGCCTCTGTCTCAGTCTCTTGGGTCGGAATGAGAGGTGTTATTTCCTTGGTGTCAAGTTTTTGGATAGGAAGTTGTGGTGTAAATTCCTCTGCGTTGAGCCCCGCTGCAGGAATAAGAGTTGTGATTTTGCTGGTGCCAAGCTCCTCAGGGAGAAATGGAGTCTGTATTTTCTCCATTTTGAGCCCCTTGATCGGAATGGGAGGCGTGATCTCCTCTGTGTCATACTCCTCTGTAGGAGTAGGAGCTCTGATATCCTCTGTGGCAAGCTCCTCGGTCGGAATGGCACTTGTGATATCATTGCTGTGCAAATCTGAATAAATAGGGGGAGTTATTTCCTCGGTGTTTGGTGTCTCTGTAAGTAACGGAGGTGTAATTTCCTCTGTGTCTTGCGCCTTGGTAGGACTGGAAGTTGAGATTTCCTCCATGTCGAGCTCCTCGGTAGGTATGGGACTTGCCCTTTCCTGGGTGTCGAGCTCCTCGGTAGGTATGGGACTTGCCCTTTCCTGGGTGTCAAACTCCTCTTTAAGAACGAGAGGTGTGATTTCCTTTGTCTGAATTGGGGTTCTGATATTCCCAGTAGTAGTTGAAGTATCTGTGTCGAGCTCTTCTGTGGGAACGGGAGATTTGATTTCCTCGATCTCGAGTTCCTTGGTAGGAATGGATGGGGTCATTTCTTCAGTGCCGCGTGGTGTGATGGCTTTAGTGTCGAACTCCTCGGTAAGAATTTTGGTTTGGATTTCCTTAGTGTCAAGCTCCTCTGCAGGAATTGGAGGTGTAATTTCCTGAGTTTCAAGCTCCTTGTCACGAATGGCCATTGTGCTTTCCTTGAGGTTCAGCTCCTCAGTAGGAATGGGAGGTGCCATTTCCTGGGTGTCAAGGTCCTCTTGAAGAATGGGAGGTGTGATTTCCTTTGTGTTAAGCTCATCGATCTGAATTGGGGTTCTGATTTTCTCAGTAGTAATCGGCGTATCTGTGTTGAGCTCTTCTGAAGTAATGGGAGACTCGATTTCTTTGATCCCGAGTTCCTTGGTAGGAATGGATGGTTTAATTTGCTCAGTGTCCGGCTCCTCAGTACGAGTAGCGGGTGTGATTTCTTCAATGTCAAACTCCTCTGTCGTTATTTGGGTCTTGATTTCCTCGGTGTCAGGCATCTCTGTAGAAATTGGAGCTGTAATTACTTGGCTGTCTCGTTCTTCCGGAAGAACGGGACATGTGATTTCCTTTGTGTCAAGCTCCTCAGTTTGAATTAGCGTACTGATTGTCGAGGTAGTCATTGTAGGTATAATTTCCTCTGCGTTGAGCCCTTCTGTAAGAATGGGAAGCTTGATTTCATCAATGTCGAGTTCCTTGATAGGGCTGGAAGGTGTTGTTTTCTCAGTCTCGGTACAAGTAGGAGTAATTTCTTCAGTATGGAGATCCTCGGTATAAATTAGGGTTTTGATTTCCTTGGTGCCAAGTTCCTCGGTAGGAATTGGAGGTGTAATTTCTTGAGCTTCAAGCTCCTGGGCAAGAATGGCAGTTGTGATTTCCTTGATGTCGAGGTCCTCGGTTGGAGTGTTAGTTGTGATTTCTTGGGTGTCAAGCTCCTTTGTAGGAATGGAAGGTAGAATGTTGTCTGTGTCACGCTTATCTGTAGAAGTAGTTTTGATTTCCTTGGTGTCAACCTTCTCGGGAGTTTTGATTTCCAGGGCGTCAAGTTTCTGGGAAAATGGAGGTGTCATTTCCTGGGTGCCGAGCTCTTTGATAGGAATGAGAGATTTGATTTCCTTGATGTCGAGCTCTTCGGTAAGAATTTGAGGTGCCATTTCCTCATTGTCAAGCTCCTTGGTAGGAATGGGAATTGTGACTTCCTTGGTGTCGAGCTCCTCTGTAGAAATTATTGCCGCAATTTCCTGGGTAGCCAGCTCCTTGGGAGGAATGGAAGGTGTGATTTCCTTAAGGTTCAGCTCCTCAGTAGGAATCGAAGTTATTTCTGTGATTTTTTTTACTTTGGGTAACTCTGTTCCATCCATCGCAGCTTCCATTTCATTTACAACCAGATCTGTCCTGGTGATGGGTGCCTTTAATTTTTGGACTTCATGTTGTTGTGAATCCCCTGCAAATGTTTCAAGTGCGTCACGCGAGACAGAACTAACCATTTTGTCTGAACACAACGAATCTGCCACCGGCATAGTGGAGATGCTCTCAACAACCTGCTCCATAAGCTCTTCCGTTACCTTGACTTGGGAATCTGCCACAACCGGTGTGGTAGCACCCGATGTTTGTTCTGACCGCTGGGAGAGCGCAGATATCCTCTCGCTATCCTCGGCCAGGCTCATGTCCACAGGATATGATGGTACGGTGACGGCCTCTGAGGTGCTCTCGATCAGATTGTCTGCTTTGGTGCTTTCCGTGAACTCACCTTCCTCAGGAATGTCGCTCAGTGCGTTTCCATTGAACTCTGTGAGGTTGGCCAGGTCTTCATTTGTGGCCTCATTTCCATCAGTCTGCAGATTATCCAACAATTGGGCTGCCTCTGTCACCTCAGGAACGATGTGTTGATTGAGATCAGCATCTGTGTTTGTGGCTGGCTCCCTCTCTACAACACTCTCTTTTGGTTCTGTCTCAACAGTTTCATGATTGGACAAGGGAACAGCAGCTGGCATCTCAGAATTAAGGTCACCTGCACCGAGCTCCTGATCCACTTCACACAAAGGTGTTTGTTGGTCTTTATTTGAGACAGACTTTCTCTTTTTCCAGCCTGGAATAATTTGAGCCGAAAGGGTGTTTTCTTGATGGCCGTCAGGTTCGGACCTGCGTTGCCTTTCTCCCGCAGGCTTGGCTTTCCTTTTGGGACTCATCAGTCTTTTGAAAACGGTCCAGGCTGACTCTACGTCGCCTTCAGGTGGACTTGCGGCTTCTTTGGGGGTGGATGCTGAAATGTCAGCATTGTTCTCATAGTTTTCTATTGCTTCTGCAGCATTTACATCATCAGTCGGTGTTTCGTGGTCAGAGTCTAATGGTGTCTGACTTCTTGCACATAAAATGGCATCCCAGGAAACGGCTGAATCTTTGCCATCACCCAACCTGCACTCTAATGTGTCATCTTCTTCGCTTGGCTTTGGGGTTTGCACATCATCATTGTTCAAGGCGGACCTGTTCACGCGCTTTTTGGGAGATAACAGTTTCATAAAGGTGGCCCACGGGCTCTCCTCTTGCCCCGCCACCGTTGTTTCTGTAGGTTGTGCAGGTCTTTGTGTTTTATCATTCTCTGCCATGTCGGTCGGTGAAAAAAGCTGGTCCGAGTCATCTCTAGACGGTTTACAATCTTCGCCCTCAGACGGTTTTGCATCTTTTTGCCTTTTCAACATCATCAGACTCGAGCCCAAAAGAAGCCTCTTCAGAGGACTAGACGGAACACTGTCGATCTCTTTGGGAGCTTCAGGCTCGCTTTTCATGTCTGCCGATGGATTTTCTTCCTGATCGCCATCTGCTAATGTTACGGTAATCATTTCTGTGTCTTCCTGTTCGTCTTGTGTCATTTCTTTCACAGTGCCTCCGACTTCCTGCAGCACAAGCTCTCTTGTCATGGTCTCGTCTTCCAAGGACATACGCTTTTTCGCCAATCCAGCAAAGATTCCCGTGGTGAAAAACCTTTGAATGGGTGACATAGTCACATCCTCTTTGGCGCAAGAGGGAGACGAAAGATCCTGTTCAGATGGCGTGTCGAGGTGTGTCCAGTCTTCGTCAGGGAGGTCGGCCTCATTCTGGGAATCTTCTCGGACGGTTGCTTCTTCCTCGGTCGGATGAGCTGAATCCTCATTTCGACTCTCGCGTGCTGCGTCCGCTTGGGTTTTGTCGTCATGGATTTGGTCAGCGATGCTTTTGGAGCCGTCGGGGCCATCTTCTTGGTTCCCACTGTGAACTCTGAAGCCTCGTTTCAATGTGAATTTCAAACCAACTTTACTGAGGAATGTTTTAAAGCTCTCATTGATGTCGTGTTTTGCTTCGACCTCTGTCACGTCGAAGGATATGTCTTCTTTGTTATTGGCTTCTTTGATTGACTCCTTCTCGATCACGACAATGTTTTCGCACAGCGTCTCCAGACCGTCAGCTTAAAAAATGGTAGCAGGGAAGGAAGGCACGTTAAACCGCGTCAGTTATTTGTTTATTCGGACTCCTTTTTAGGTGGGTTACTGCCTACCTTCGGCGTTAGTGTCATCCTCACGACGACCATTGACTTCCACGAATGAGGTGTCTGATTTTGCAGCAATTTGCCCCTTGTTTTTGAGAAGCTGCGAATGAAGCACAAAACCCCCACAAGTGAAAAACTGCTTCTTGTAATTGCAGTCCTCATCATGCGGCATTGTGACGTTACTCGATTTCAGTCATTTTGAGCAGGAATGAAGAATTTCTTAAATACGCAAAAGAATTCAGCACAGCATCCAAACACAAAAACTCATTTCATGTGAAGGAATGCAAATAAATAACTGTCATTTGACATCTTAATCCAGATGTAATTACGTGGTTCATACAGTTACTATTTTTCGTTTTGGGGGCGCTAAAATATTATTGGCTATCGAGGTTAAAATTCTTCGACATAATAGCGAATGTAACCATTGGAGGAATAAAAGAAGAAAAGAAAAGAAAAATGACTTTGATTGCGCTTTCATATCACTGAGAATTGTTGCGTTATCTCCTGTGATCGAGTTACATGCTAATATTCAATTAGTGCATTGTAGCGGAAATTCAATCTGTCCTTTAAATTTACAATCTAAACCTGTTCAAATTTATCACTGACCAAATATGAAGGACACCGCATATATGGCAATGTGAGTAAACATTTTACTTGATAAAGTAAAGCAAAGTAACTCATGATACGGTATCACGTGATAGTTCAAGAATCTAAGAATACACAGTCATTCAGAAAGAATTGCTATATTGAGAAAACGAAATTAAACATCTCTGTTTTAAGCATGAAAAAAAAATACATTGACTTTTTCTGATCTGATAAAAATTTGTAACCCATTTTTCATTTTGACAATGACCACCATATGGAAAGGCTTCGGTGTACAAGGGGGAGCAATAACCATATTACATGCTGATGCATCGATCCTGTATCAAAACAGATAATGATACGGCACATCACGATATCAACGTATCATGCTGGCATATCGATTCTGTATCAAGGCAGATAACGATATGCTACATCACGATATCAATGTATCATGCTGGCATATCGATTCTGTATCAAGGCAGATAACGATACGCCACATCACGATATCAATGTATCATGCTGGGATATCGATTTTCTCTCAAAGCAGATAATGATATGCTACATTGCAATACAGTATTTCATGCTGACGTATCGCTCCTGTAGCA